ATGAGTGGCTCTTAGCCACAAGGTAGAGAAAAAAGAGATCGGATTTATACCTCACCCTTCACTACCCGAAGGAGTCTCAGAGCGGCTTACAATCCCTTTCCCACCCCCTCCACACAACAGACACCCTGTGAGGTAGGTGGGGCTGAGAGAGCTCTGGCTGGCCAGGCACAATTCCTCAATATCTTCAAGTCTAAAGACAATGGGTCCATAGGATCCTAGCCGGCCCAATTGGAGGTGTGGAGAACCAAACCTGATTCTCCCAGATTAGAGTCTATGCTCTTAACCACTACACCAAACTGGCATTCCTCACAGCGAGATGGAACACTCTGTCTGGCGCAGTGACACTCTGTATTCTTGGTGTTTGGGGGACAACAGTGGGAGGGCTGCTGCTGGGGTTCTGGCCCTGCTGGTGGACCGCCTGATGGCAACTGGGTTTTGGTCTCTGTGTGACACTGTGGACTGGATAGGCCTGATCCAGCATGGATTCTTTTATGTTCTTAAGGGCATCCAGTGAAGTTGATGGGCAAAAGGAAATAACTTCTTTGCACAAGTGATTAAAATGTGGAATGCATTGCCAGAAAATGTAGTGATGGCCACACAGATAGCTTTAAAAGGGGATTAGAGAGATTCATGGAGCATAGGGATACTAGACAGAGTGACTAAAGAGAACCTCCACTTTCAGAGGCGGCCAACCTCCATAGGTGGATAGTAGACACAGTGACTAAAGAGAACCTCCACTTTCAGAGGCGGCCAACCTCTTAATCCTAGAGTCAGGAGGCAACATCAGGGGAAGGCCTTAGCCACTATACCCTGTTGGCCCTCCAGAATAACTGGTTGGCCACTTTGTAAAACAGTATGTGGGACTAGATGGACCACTGCACTGATCTCTAGCAAGTGTCTTCTTATATTCTTATGAAATCATGGCTGCTGCCTTTTCTGCTACATATACACTACAGAATTGGTCAAGAGACAAAGATGGGAGTTGGAACGCTGTTCTAAGGGGAGTGACACACCATATTCCTCAAACAATTTTTCAGAATTTTGTTGTCATTCCACTCTTAAATGGTTTCTCATGTGCACTGCACATTGAACTCTGCTTGAAGCATTTCCCACAGACTATTGATATGGTTTCTCTCCATATCTTTGATGGAGTTAAGAGTGTAGATTTAACATCAAAGGTTTCCTCAGAGCCCAGACACGTGTACGGTTTCTCAGCTACACGCATTTTCTTGTGCCTATGCAGCTGCGATTCCTCATCATCTCTTCATCCACAATCAGAGGACTTATGTGACTACTCTATTTTGTGTATCTTTTTATGTGTTTTTAGGGCCCGGTTAGAAGTAAAGCATCTTTCACAGTCTGAGCACTTGTACGGTTTCTCTCCCGTGTGTATTCTCCTGTGTATTCTAAAGCTGCCTTCCCAACGAAAGCTGTTCCCACAATCTGTGCATTTGAATGGTTTCTCACCTGTATGGATTCTTTTGTGTAGAGAAAGGTCACTGTTTTGTGTGAACCTTTTCCCACAGTCCAGGCACTTGTACGGTTTCTCTTCCGCATGGCTTTCCCTGTGCCTACCAAGATGGGACAACGTACTATAGGTTTTGCCACAGAGCAAACAGGCATACGGTCTGTCTCCAGTATGGTTCCTCATATGTATCTTAAGGCTGCTTTCCCAGCGAAATTTCTTGCCACACTCTGAGCATCTGTACGGTTTCTCTCCAGTATGGATTCTTCCATGTACATATAGCTGGGAGCTCTGGCTGAAGCTTTTCCCACATTCTGGGCAGTGGTAGGGTTTCTCGCCTGAATGCGTTCTCTCATGTAGAACAAGATCATTCTTTTGGCGGAAGTTCTTCCCACACTCCAAGCAGGTGTGTGGCCTCTCTCCAGTGTGGATTTTCTTGTGAGTTCTTAGATGCGATCTCTGACTGAAACTTTTCCCACATTCGGAGCATTTGTAGGGTTTTTCTCCAGTATGACTTCTCTTGTGGATGGTAAGGGTAGTCTTACAAATGAAACTTTTGTCACACTCTGAGCACGGATAGAGTTTCTCTCCTGTATGGGTCCTCTCGTGTCTCAGAAGATGGCTTCTCTTAATGAAATCTCTCCCACACGCTACACAAAAATAGGGCTTCTCTCCTGTATGGATTCTTACATGGTCCGAGAGGATGGTACTGGTACCAAAGGTTTTCCCACACTTTAAACATTTATAGGGCTTCTCGTCCACATGGGATATTTCATGTCGCACGAGAAGCGCCTTATATCCAAAGCCTTTCCCACAGACTAAACACCGGTGCGGCTTCTCGCCCGTATGGGTGGTCTGATGGTCAGAAAGAGCCGAATTTGAAACAAAGCCTTTCCCACACTCCACGCATAAAAACCTTTTCTTTTTTTTGCGGGCTGGCTTATACTTCGGAAAGGTGGAGCTCTGACTATTTCCCCCCCCAACTTCAACGCCTCCCATTTCTTTCCCACAGGAAGATGCTTCAATTAAACTTTGGTTTCTCAAAAGAGATTGTGTGGTGACTGGACAGACATTGGCATGACGTTCAAGCTTCTGCCGACTTCCACGTATTTCACGAAGTTCTGCTCCACGTAACACAATTCCTTCTGCTGCAGCTACTGACACCCCACTGATCTCACTCTGCTCTGGTCCTTCCAGCAGACGGTTCTCCTCACTCACTTTTTCCTCACCTGCCAGAATAAAAAGAGAATTGTGTCTTGAATCAATCCCAATCCATGCTGAGAGAAAAATCCACTCAGACGTTAATTTATGTGGCATTACCTGCCAACCTAGCAGTTCGAAAGCAAGAAACTGCAAGTAGAGAAATAGGTACCACTTTGGTGGGAAGGTAACAGCGTTCCGTGCGCCTTGGTGTTTAGTCACGCTGGCCACATGACCACGGAAACGTCTTCGGACAGCGCTGGCTCTTCGGCTTTGAAATGGAGATGAGCACCGCAACCCTAGAGTTGGACTCGACTGGCTTTCGAGCAAGGGAACCTTTACCTTTACCTTTACCACTATTTTAGGCATATGGTTTTAGAAGCTGACAGGTGCTCTGCTTCGGCACAAGGGGAATCGGACCAATGATCCAGCTTCCTTTCCTAACAGTAGCCACCCAGACACCTCCAGGAAGCCCTTGAAGGGAACATGATGACAACAGCCCCACGATATTTCCCTCAGGCATCTGGTGTACGACCAGGATATCGCAGGCTAGCCCGATCTTGTAAGGTCTAGGAAGCTAAGCAGGGCTGGCCCTGGCGAGGAGTTGGATGGGAGACTACCGAGGAATCCCAGGGCCGCTATGCAGAGGCAGGCCATGGCAAACCACCTCTGAATGTGTCCTTTGCCTTGAAAACCCTACAGGGTTGCCATAATTTGGCTGCGACTGGACAACACTTTCCACTGCCACCACATCTGGTATTCAGATACACTGTCCCTGAGCACAGAGGTTCCACTCAGATATGCTGACACAGACTTCTCTGTAAAAATCTAAATTAGTGACAATCCTCACAGCTTCACTCAGTGAGTTCTTCTATCTAATGGGACTTTATGTAAATATCCCAACTTGGCCATGTTAATTGAACACACATGAAGCTGACTTATACTGAATCAGACCATTGATCCATCAGGGTCAATACTGTCTATCCAGACTCACAGCGGCACTCCAGAGTCTCAGGTGGAGGTCTTTCACCTCACCTACTGCCTGGTCCTTTTAACCAGAGATGCCAGAGATTGAACCTGGGACCTTCTGCATGCCAAGCAGATGCTCTACCACTGAGCCAGGGCCCCTCCCTAATTATTTAGAAGATTTCTCCCCCAATTATTTAGAAGATTTCTCCCCCTCCCTGCAAAAACCTTGCCCAGGACCAGGGGTCATTTCCTGCAGGAGCACACAGGAGCAGAGCTCCAGCAGTAAAGAGCCCAGGGGGCGGGCACATGCAACAAGCCCCACCCCCTGCTCCCAGTAGCCCTCAGTCAGAGCAAGAAGCAGCCAGGTAAGTTGCAGAGCTCCCCCCGGTCCAAAGCAGTCCAGTGGCACCTTTAAGACCAAGTGTTATTCAGGTACAAGCTCTCCCTCCTCTGCGAGGACAGATCTATGTGTCCCCCCCCCCCGCCATAGCTAGCAATCCAAAACAGTCCAGTGGAGCCTGAGCAATGGGCGTTGCCTTCTGACACACTTCTGGTGATGTCAGGGGGTGTGGCATATGCAAATAAGTTATGCTAATGAGTCATGCTAATGAGCTCCTGCACCTCTTTTTCTACGGAATGACCCCTGCCCAGGACAGTAAACAACAAAAATAATACATAATATACAGAAAGTTAAACTGATCCATTAAATTCCACAACAATAAAATTGTTCAACAGCTTTAAAAGTTCACTAAAATAAGTAGCATTGAGAGGTACAGAGTTTTGGCTGTAGTGAGCGGGATTAAAATGCCAAAAGTAAGTTGGAAAATAATCTAAACCCCTGGCTGAAGAGCTGTGTTTTCAACCAGCACCTAAAGGCCAGTAAGGGAGAAGCCAGACGAACTTCAGCGGGGAGGACTTTCCCCTGTTAAGGAGCCACCCCTTGAGAAAGCCCTGTCCCTGGCCACCACGCACATCCTCTGTTCGAAAGGGCACAGAAAGCAGGGCTAGAATGGTTATTTTAGTTCAAAAACAGAACAGATTTATATAATAAAATAATATCCATATACTAATAGCAAAATCTGAGCTGTGAATGGGCAAGACGGATCTTTCTACAAACCTGAAAAGGACCCCAGGTTTGCAGAAAAATACAAAATCTAAAAAAAATACAAAGGGGGAAGGTTAAAAAACTTGAAAATGATAAAAGGAGTACTCTAGCTGTAAGCGGAGCTGCGGTGGCTCAAGTGGTTAAGACGCTGAACTGCAGGCTGTGGAAGGTCAGTAGTTAGGATCCAAATGCATAGACTACCACTGCACATGTTGCTAAACTGGACTATGGGTTTCCTCACCTTCACATAAGAAGATTGATCTGAATATTGCACTACACTAACTGAATTTACAAAAACAAACAAACACACATTATACAAAGCAAAACATCAACAACCAGAATTAAGTGGTTTAACTGCTATATGGTTTATCCTGGATTTTTTGCTAATGTCTGTCCTCGTCTGCTTTTTTGTGAGTGTACATGGGGCATCATGATTCACAGAAGTACAGCAGATCTAAATAGGGTTGCCAGGACACCCCACCCACCCCCGGTCACCCATGGGGGATGCGGAGTAGGGTTGCCAGGAGGCTGGGAAACTCTGGGAGATTTGGGGATGGAGCCTGGAGCAGACAGGGACCTCAGGAGGGTACAATGTCATGGAGTTCACCTTCCAAAGCATCCATTTCCTCCAGGGGAACTGATCTCTGTAGTCTGGAGATGAACTGATCCCACCTGGAGGCTGGCATCCCTAGTCGAGAGGCCTCAGCCTGATATAATGCCATAGAGTCCACTCTCTAAAACAGCCATTTTCTCAGGGGGACAGGTCTCTGTTGTCTGGAGTTCAGTTGTACTTCTGAGAGATCTCCAGGTTCTACCTGGAGGCTGGCAGTCCTAGGCCTGGAAGCAACCTCTGGGTGACTTGAAGCCACCCAACTTGCACGGCTCAGCTAGGCCTCGCTGTTACTCTTCAGCAGCATACTCCCTATGAAAGCCAGGGTGGTATATCAGTTAGAACTTCAGAGTAGGGTCTGCGAGACCCCGGCTCAAATCCCCATCTTCCTGTGGAAGCTCACTGAATGACCTTGAGCCAGTCATACACATTTAGTGTGACCCACTTCACAGGACTGTTGTGAAGATAAAAAGGAGAGGAGAGTAATGTAAGCTACTTTGGTCCCTCCAGTAGAGAATGGTGGAGTATAAATGAAGTAAATAAATAATAAATATAACTGAAGATGAAAGGCAGATAAACAGTTGGTTGGTGAATGGCTGAGAAGGACAGAATAAGGCAGGGAAAGGGCAGAGGATATAGGGGTTGCCAGGAGGAGGGGAAAAGGAAATAGTGTGGGAAGGGGGATACAGGGGAAAGTGAGGTGCTCCCCCTTAAGTCCTTGAGAGTCCCCTACCCTGCAAGTGGGGCTGGCCCAATAGCCGGCACCACACAACTAGGCCACAGTTTTCCTAGGTAGAGGCTGCAGAGGGGGTACGTAGTGGGAAGACAAAGAGGCAGATAAAGGTAGGTTGACTGTTGGGTGGGAAGTCAGGAAATTCCTAGAGATTTGGGGGGAGGGTTAGGGAGAGGAGGGACCTCAGAAGTGTATAATGCCATAGCCCTCATATCCCCAAGGGATCTAGGCTTGCCAACCTCCAGGTGTGGGCTGGAGTGGAGACCACCCAGCATCAGAACTGATCTCTAGACGAGCGGGACCAGTTCGCCTGGAGAAAACAGCTGCTTTGGAGGGTGGATTCTATGGCATTATACCCTGCTGAGGTTGCGTCACTCCCCAAACCTTGCCCTTCCAAGCTCCACACCCAAATCTCCAGGAATTTCCCAACCTGGAGCTGGCAGCCCTAAGGGGGGAGTGAAGTTGGTAGTTGGGAAATCTGTTTTGATTCCATAAATACATAAGACAAGCCAATGTTGGATCAGGCCAATTTACTGCAACAGAAAAAATGGCAACTGTATAACTGCAAGGGCTCTTAACTATCTCCTAACCAAGGCACACAACAACTTACCTAACAAACTAGCCTCTCCGTCATCCTCCTGCTTGACCTCCATCAGGAACTCCATCTTCCAGCTCTCTGGAGGATTCAGGTCTGATGTGGGCAAATCAGCAGACATCTCCTTGCGCAGTTCTGGCACCTGAAGGAGATGAAGGCATATTCACAGTGAGGATGTTCCACAAGGCTGGAAAAGCAATTAATGCTACAGATACAAATATTCCAGATTTCACGCCTTAGTGAACGCCGATGCCCCACTGTAAGCAGAAGGGCAGCAAATGGGGCCAACTTTACTTCCCTTCCGATCCTTGTTTAAAAAAAAGAGGAAACCGGGGGAGGGGGGGAATGGGATGCCTCCTGCAAGTCCTTGCGAGTTCCCACTTATAACAGTTCTAATTGTATCCTCAGTCCTTTCTCCAGAATTCCTCACTACGAACTGGTCTTTTTTACTGCACCAGAAAAAAAGGTAACTGTATAACTGCAAGGGCTCTTATCTATCTCCTAACCAAGGACACAGCAACTTACCTAACAAACTGGCCTCTCTGTCATCCTCCTGCTTGACCTCCATCAGGAACTCCATCTTCCAGCTCTCTGGAGGATTCAGGTCTGATGTGGGCAAATCAGCAGACATCTCCTTGCGCAGTTCTGGCACCTGAAGGAGATGAAGGCATATTCACAGTGAGGATGTTCCACAAGGCTGGAAAAGCAATTAATGCTACAGATACAAATATTCCAGATTTCACGCCTTAGTGAACGCCGATGCCCCACTGTAAGCAGAAGGGCAGCAAATGGGGCCAACTTTACTTCCCTTCCGATCCTTGTTTAAAATTCCCAGGTGGGTAGCCCTGTTAGTCTGTGGCAGCAGAATAAAAGAAGAGGACCATGATGCCTTGAAATTTAACACAAATTTATTCAAGAATAGCCTTTTGTGAGTCAGAGCTGTCTATCAGATGAACCGGAGAATAAATCCATCAGACCAATGTATACGCTCAACACAAAGGCGGGAGGGTGGAAATGCTACAAAAAGGGGCCAGTTCAAAACAAAAACAGCAACTCATTGTCCTTTTAGAATGGAACTTCAAAGGAAGAATCCAATGAGAAATTGCTGAATTGGAATTTATTAGCAAATTCATGAAAATATAAACCCCAAGGTTTAATGGGGACCTGGATTTCCTAACACCAAAGGTCTTAATATCTCACCTATCCTGTCCATTAGAGATGTTAGTTACTTCAGCTATATATCCTTAATTTCCTATTGTATCTGCTTATCTCATTTCATCCTTCATTAGGTGTTTGCCTATGTATCAACAGCTGGACGTCTCACCCGTCCTGAGAGAACTGAACATAATATATTAATAGTTGTTAATAATTAAAAATTGAGCATAAAGGATTAAGCTGCTTAAAACAAGCCTCAAATCAGTTCTCAGGCTTCGAAACAGGCAATAAAAACATCAACCCCTGAGTTAAAATTTGGGGAAAAGGCACTTTAGACCTGGTGCCCGAAAGAGAGTAGCGTAGGCACCAGGACGTGAGCCTCTGGGGGAAGGGGTTTCCATAGGCTTGTGCTGGACTATTTATTTACTTCATTCGTACCCTGACCTTTCTCCCCAATGGGGACCCAAAGTGGTTTACCTTGTTCTCCTCTTCTCCATTTTATCCTCACAACAATCCTGTGAGGTGGGTTAGACTGAGAGAGTGTGACTGGCCCAAGGTCACCCAGCGAGCTTCCAGGCAGTGTTCCCTCTAAGCTGAGTTAGTGTGAGCTAGCTCACAGTTTTTTAGCCTCTGGCTCACACATTTTTGTCTTAGCTCAGGAAGGAGGGCTCCAGAGCCAACTAATTTCTGCAGCAGCCAAATCACTTGCTCACGACTTTAATGCCAGGAGCTCACAAAGTAGAATTTTTGCTCACAAGACTCCACAGCTTAGAGGGAGCATTGCTTCCAGGGCTCAAGAGGGGATTTCAACCCAGGTCACCCAGATGCTAGTCCAGCACTTTTAACCACACCACCACCCTGGGAAGGCATGAGAGTTACACTCTGGATAACGTGAGGGCCTCTCTACTTGGATTTCCTCCTGATACACGTTTATTAAGCTCATAAGTACAGAGCAAGGCAGAGCCCGCCAACAGTAACCCCAAAACAAGGAATTCATGTTGCGAGCTGAGGGATCCCTCTCTGAAAAACACAGACAGAGGAGCAGTAGGAACATCAGGAAAGGGACACAGGGAGAAGAAGAGGCATGGGGAATTCACCTGTGCTCCAGAAAAAAAAAGGCACGGGGGGGGGGGGTTGCGAGGTCTTCCCTGGCCACCAGCGGGGTACAGGGGGTAGGGTTCTCAGATCCAGGGTAGGAAACTCCTGGAGGTTTGGGGACGGAGCTGGGGGAAGATAGGGACTTCTGTGGGGCGCAATGCCACTAGAGTCCCCCCTCCAAAGCAGCCAGCTTCTCCAGGGGAACTGATCTCTGTAGGGCGGAGATGAGCTGTAATTCCAGGGGGTCCCCAGGTTTCACCTGGAGGCTGGCATCCCTAGCTGGGGGCCTCAGAGAAAAGAGAGGGCCACTCCTTCCATCCAGAGCCTCCTTGGTGGGGCCGCGCGTCAAAGAAAATGACACAAGCAGAAATCTCCCGGATCTGGCTCCTGAGCTAGACAGAGCAATGTAGCTGGGGCGGGTCTGGTCACCACCCCCTATAGGGGGTGGTGGTCCGGTCCGGCTCGGGGCCAGAGAGGAGTCAGAGCTCTGGGCTCTCCGCCTGCACAGCGGCGGCTGCTTCTTCCCAGCCAGCCACTGCTGGTCTCTTTTCTCCGGGGCCCCCGGTTCCTCGGCTCTCTCCCGCCCCTCCCCGTGACTGTCCCTCACCTGCTCCCCGCAGCCCTCCAAATGACCCCTCCGGCCAATCCGCACCGCTCGCCCAATTGCACTGCGAGCGGCGAGTTGCCAGGGCGCGCGGGGGGGGGGGGTTGCTGGCCGGGAATCCGGGATTTTGGGGGGGGCCTCTCTGCAAAGCACAGCTCGGTGCCTTTAACCCCTTCCGGCTCCTCCTGGGAAAGTAAGAACAGACCCGGGCGGAGATGGGAACGTGGGTTGCCCTGGCAGTCCCCCGTCTCTGGCCGCAGCAGGAAAATGTCCAGATGGAGGACTGCAGCTCGGTGCCGGGAAAGCCCGGATTTCTTCCTGTCCAAATGGAACCTGGAGAGCTGGGCCTGGCGGGAGAGGCTTACTAGCTGAGCAAAAAGATAGCCTCAGGTGGGGTAGCCGTGTTGGTCTGAAGCAGCAGCACAAAGATTAAGACCTTTAAGACCAACACAATTTAATTCTGGGTATGAGCTCAAGCGGTGGGTGGCTCAAGTGGTTAAGACCCTGAACTGCAGGCTGGGGAAGGTCAGTAGTTCAGCCCTTCGAGACCCGGGTGCCGCATGATGGAGTGAGCTCCCCTCTCTGGTTCCAGCTCCTGCCAACCTAGCAGTTCGAAAGCAAGAAATTGCAAGTAGATAAATAGGGACCACTTTAGTGGGAAGGTAACAGCGTTCCGTGCGCCTTGGTGTTTAGTCATGCCGGCCACATGACCACGGAAACATCTTCGGACAGCGCTGGCTCTTAAGGATGTGTGGTTCTCTGTGATCTGCTAGAAGATTTCTAAATATGTTTGCTTTCTGTTAATCTAATGCAATTAAAGAAAGTAAGACACCATCTACAAAAGTAAGACACCATCACCAACCGTGTACCTGAAGAAGTGTGCGTGCACACGGAAGCTTATACCTTGAACACAACTTTGTTGGTCTTAAAAGGTGCCACTGGACTCAAACTTTGTTTTTTCTGAACAAACGGAAGACCTGAAACTGGTGGCCCTCTCACCTCCACACTTTTCCCTCTTCAGGTCAACAAAACTCAGCTGCCTTCATTGATCAGCTGCCTTAATTGATCAGGGAATGATATGATTGCTGCTATGTTTTTATTGTTTTATGGATTTTATGTATGGGCTGATGCCCTTTGTAAGCCGCCCTGAGCCCGCTTGCGGGGAGGGCGGGGTAAAAATACCTAAATAAATAAATAAATAACAGCCGTTTGTCCATGCTCAGTGGTACACTTTATTTGAAGCCTCCCTATGAGAGTCATTCCACAGTTAGACCTGGCCAGGGTGGCCAACTCACCAGGAGAAAACACAAGCCCAGCTTGCTCTTCTGCCTCAGTCAGCCACCTAGTTTGGGATGCCAGCCTCCAGGCGGGACCTGGGGATCACCTGGAATTACAGCTCGTCTCCAGACTACAGAGATCAGTTCCCCTGGAGAAGCTGGCTGCTTTGGAGGGTGGACTCCGCTGAGGTCCCTCTCCACCCCCAAATCTCCAGGAGTTCTCCAACCTGGATCTGGCTGTGATGGAATAATTAGAAGTGTTTCCCAACACCAAACCCAACCTCCTGAGGAACAGGTGAAGACAGTTCCTTATCTGGAATTCTCCCCTCCTCTCAGCATATCAAATTATCCTTCTAGGCACAAGAGCAAAGGCCAGTTTTAAAGATGGCAGCCCACAGGCCTGGCCAAAATCAAGCTGTTTTGCCAAGGCAGGCAGGGCCAGGAAATCAACTCTCCTCACCATTCCAAGGAACTTTATGGATTAGCAGTAAATCCTGTCCTCTTCCCTAAGAAGTGGGAAGTTCCAGGGGAAGAGCTACCTGGATTGGCTTTTCTTAGGATCAGAAAGCATTGGTGACTGATGGCATTTCCATAGCAACGCCTGTGTTCACTCTTACGCAAGGCAAGCAGACCACAGGTGGAGGGTAAGAGGCGCTCCCACAAGCGATCTCTTTTCTTTCCTCACATCGGGTCCTGAGATCGGAGGCTCTACAAATACTTCAGCCTCAGACCATTTGAAGCTCTCTTGTATGGCTGCGAGAGTTGGACTATAAGGAAGGCCGAGCGCCGAAGAATAGATTGTAGATTGTTTTGAACTATGGTGCTGGAGAAGACTCTTGAGAGTCCCTTGGACTGCAAGAAGATCAAACCTGTCAATCCTAAAAGAAATCAACCCTGACTGTTCCCTGGAAGGCCAGACACTGAAGCTGAAGCTCAAATACTTTTGGCCACTCAATGAGATGGGAGCACTCACTGGCGAAGACCCTGAGACTGGGAAAGACGGAAGGTCAAAGAAGAAGGGGACGGCAAAGGATGAGATGGTTAGACATCACCGAGGCAACACAGAAATTGAGCAAACACCGGAGGGCAGGAGGGCCTGACGTGATGTGGTCCATGGGGTCACGAAGAGTCGGACTCGACTGTGCGACTGAACAACAACAGAAGGGTTGCCAACCCCCAGGTGGGGCCTAGAGATCTCCCCACATTACAGCTGGGCTCCTGGTTACAGAGATCAGCAAGCTTGGAGAACATGGCTTGTCTGCAGGGTAGACTGTGGCACTGTGACCTAAGGTCCCTCTCCTCCCCTAAACTCCACCCCTTCCCCGGGCTCCACCCCTCAAATCTCCAGGTATTTCAAAACACAGGCCTGGCAATGCTTGGTAGGAGTTATTTATTTTATCACATTTGTGAATTGCCCAATCCCCACGTTCACAGGGCTCCGGGCAATGTACAACAGTAAATAAAATACAATATATATAAAACATTCAGTACAGTACAGTACAGTCAGTGGCTCAAGTG